CTTTTTATGTTAGTAATTTAAACAGAACATTGGAGCATGTTTTAAGATAGTGGTAACTGCATAACATAATTCATCCAGTAATGTTCTTTAGTAGTTTTAAAATAGCAAAGTAACATTTAAAAGCAGTCTTTTGAAATGGCTATTTAAAAAGTTTGCTCAAACATTGGTTTACCACCAAGCTACAGTGCTTGTAACCATTGCTAATGGTTTGTGGTATGGATACCTGGGGACCATGCTGCTGGCTAGAATCTACAACATTTTCATGAGCATTTTGTGTCAGTGTTCCCTGATGAACTCCCCAGTTGCCTTTTACATTTGACAGTTGAAAGGAAGGTAAACATTTATTTTGTAATGATGATCTGTTTGTCTCTAATGAACGTCAGTTGCATACTATGTACAATAGTTAAACATTTGCTTCAGTGTAATTACTTTGAATAGTTGAGATCTTACTCAGGGAAGGATGGTGTAGAAGGAAAACTTTGTCTCACTATTGCCCAGGCTTGTTTAGAAGACCTTTTCAGTTGTATGTCGACATACTAATTGAGTTTGTCCCATCATAGTTGTTCTTTTTTGTTCATAACTGGATTTTCTGATCTAATTTCTGGACTTTTGCATCCTATGCCCTCACACTTGTCTCTGCCACCCTACAGCTGCATAAAATCATGAGCTCAAGTGCTTCATTTTTCAAGTTTCTCTCATTATCTTGGCAGGAGTGTCTGCTAAAAGCCAATTCTGGATTCCTCACTCCTCTCTGAAATTGTCAGGAGCTAAATAAGCTGATGTGTTTTCAGACTAGAGACCAATTTTGCCAATAAAACTTTGGGGCAGCTCTGAGCAATGTCAGTTAAATCCATTTACAAATCTATGGCAATGTAAAGGCTCTATAACTCTTTACATTTCTGTGGTAATGTAAAGGGATGTGAATATTTTATGCATATCTTAAAGTTCCTTTTTATAGCACCAAATCACTGGTCTCAAAGAGAATGGGACTCTGCCTTAGAATGCAGCTCTGTTCTGCAAAAGAACTGTTAAAATGGCTTCTAAGAGCTACTTTCATATTGTGTGCCAGTAATTTTTATATGAAATATGTTCAATCTGCAAGTCAAAATTTCTTTCTCATGTACATCTGGAGTCACAGAATCAAGCTGGATTCTCTTCCTCCCCTACATCCTCTGCAGGAATAGAAATTGAGCATGCCAGTCAATGCACTCACTCGCTGATAGTTTTCCTATTGCTTTTTGTGGGTTTGTTTGCTTTCTTGGGAAAGGAATAGGCTTCAGATTTCCCTCAATTGTGTTGGCTTTGTTTGAGATAAAAGAACTGAAGCGTAGCTTTTGTTTGGTTTTGGAGTCAGCTGTCAGATATAAATGCGTAAAACAAGGTGACTTATGGGACATGGTGCTATCATTTTCTTCAATAATTTTCTCCATGGATGTTCTTACTAAAACAGTGTGAAGAAATTCATTTGGTGCTCCCAACTTGCAGCGTCTTTATGAAGCTTTTTAAAGATGTTGTGGTTGATGAACATGTAAAATATATTCTGATACTTGTTTGTTGTTATGAGGGCATACAGTTTCTACATCAGTGAGTTAGGAAGCAAGATAGCACTTTCTCTCTTCAGTAGTTGAAATCTGAACAAAGATGTTTCATGAAATCTGTCAAATTCACAGTCCTAGTCATGGCACTTAACAGCATGGGTCTCAGAATGAAGAAAATCACATATGGATTTCTTCTAGAAATAAGACCCAGCTCCCACCCCTATCTACCAGTGTAAAAATAGTCAGCTTGGGATCTTCAACATCAAAGAAGAATCTCCTTTACAAGTAGATGGGAACTGCAAAAGCTCACGTTGCCCTGGAAAATTTTGCCTTTTTATTCTAGGTAGAGATATGAGAAATCTGGAGAAAGAAAGTAGAAAGTCATAGAACTGCTATCATGAAAGACTTTTAAGAATAGGCAAACATTGGTATTTTAGGTATCTATAACAGCAGTATGTTTTACTTCATCTGTAATAATGTGTAAGATCATCTGTATTTAACAGAAGCTTGCTCCTGTTAAATTTAATGGAAAATCTCTGCAATTGTAGTAGAACAAACAAGCCGGTCTTTGATACAGAACTGCGTCATGTAGTGCACTTCATTCTGAACTCCTAAAGTTTCAATCACAGAGCTACAGTTTATGCAGAATTGTATTTATTTGAAGGTGATGTATGTAAGCTATAAAGACTTGAGGGTTTTAGCACTTATTCCTCCCACTAACATGCACGGGAAGAGTTTTATGTCTATACCAGAAAGATTTAAAAAATAATACAGTGAAGTAAAACTTCATTTTCCATTTTGAATTTCAGCTGGAGGAGGAGCAAATTCATTTTTAGTTTTAAAGGCTCCAGTTTAATACTGAATATGTGTATATGTTTATATGTAAGTTAATTCTTTTTAAGGTAAGGAAAAAGTAACAGTTGAGAGTTAAAGTTTTGTCTTCTGCACAAGATTATGTTGAACACTGTAGTAGAGAATCAACTTTTCTTTGGCATACAGGTAGGTAGTAGAGTCAGACTGTAGCAGCTGCATGTGGAAGACAAGCCTAAATGTTCATAAATGCAATCAGAATCTGGACATCTTAAACATAAGAATTATTCAGACTACTTACTTCATAGTCCCACCCAATCCTAGAGCTACTTTTTTTTGAGCATTAAGAGTGTCATAATAACTTAAAGTAAGATTTTCTGGAAGCTGAGTAATAGCAGGTATACACATCTAACTGTGATGGTTTCATCTGGTTATCTAACTTTAGAGTACAGGACTTTGATTTAAAAAAAAAGAAAAAGAAGCAAGTGGAAAAGAAGCAGGAGCAGTGAATCACAGTGAAAAGTGCATCGTCCAAAGCTCTGTTAAAGCTCTGTTGCTAGTGGGAAAAGACATTCCTCACTTAGGCCTATTAAGAAGCTCTTCACAGGATCTTTCTCCACCCTAGCAGGGAGCCTGCCTCCCTAATATAAGAAATCTTAGTTACTTTGCCAAAGCCAGGCAGCTGAGTTGGGTGTTCAGAGTATGTGGCTTAAGTCTGTTTTTTGATTAAATTTAAAACTTCTAGAAAACCCTTAAGAATTCACCCAGAAATGGTGTTAATATGTATCTAATTAAATTAGATTACTAATATCTATAGCCAGGTGTTTTCAAGGCCAGGTTGGACGAAGCCCTGGGTGACATGGTTTAGTGTGAGGTGTCCCTGCCCATGGCAGGGGGGGTGGAACTAGATGATCTTAAGGTCCTTTCCTACCCTAACTATTCTATAAGTCTATGATTCTATAATTAAGATGTACTTATTGTAAGTAATTGTCCCTTGTACAGAAGGCTTATAGGGGTACAGATTGGCAATCAAACAAAACAGGCCTTAATTCAAAATCTAAACTTTGCTCAGGTCCTGTGTTCACTTGTGAACTTAATTCCTTTCATAATTCAGAGTTTAAACACATCTTCAAGTTTTGTTTCAGTTGATTTCATTTTTTTATCATTTGCTATATGGGCTGCAAGTAGATTGGAGAATTGTTTAAACAATCTGAAGAAATTACGCTGAAAATGGGAGCTAAAAGCAGCATTATTATGAATGGTAACTTGATTCCTGTGAACTTACAGCTGGGTCCAAAATTGAGCATCTCTTTGGGAAGCTGTTAGCAATAGCGAGCTCATACTCTAGAATGTGTATATACCATGTTTATCAGAATAACTGGAATAACTGTGTAAGGAGCTGCATCTCTTAATTTTTTGCTGCTAGAAGGCCAGCTGGCAAAGCACATCAAGATTATGAATTCATTGCCCCAGTCTGTGACCTCAGAGTTCTTTTCTTGCAGTGAGCTTTGATATTACACAGGAAAAATCTTTATTTGCATGTAGTATCTACTTGCAGGTGTAGGGCCATGGGGCTCCGTGGCACATTGAATGGCATTTTTGCTGCCTATAAGGTTCCTGCTAGCAATAGAAATGTGGAGAATAGCATGTGATTCTTCCTGACCACATGTTGCTTTAGCCTGTTTGATCCCTCATCAAGACTGTGAAGCTTTACAAAAGCAAAGGTAGGGATGACCGCTTAGGATTATTGTTTTCTTATATCTTATTAGAAAATATATTTTCTCTCTCTTGTAATACTTCTTGGGAAGGAGAAAAAAATGTTTTAAAGTTGTGAGATACTAAAATTGATGAGAAACATAGGAAACTACATTACCTGTCCCTTCCTGAAAAGAGGGGTCCATTGTGTACAGGTGTACAGTAATTAACTTGGGATCATCTTTTAATAATAAAGGAAAATGTTGGGAAACTTGATTATGGCTCACCATCAGGGCTTAGGCAAAGCTCCTCACTGATTCCAAATGAAGACTTGCCTTCTGAAATGGGTGGTAAAGTATAAGTCTGTGTAATGTATGATGTCCATTAACACACTTCTGTGTCCAATTCATTGGATGCGTGTTTACTGCCAATACTTTGCTCTGTAATTTAAACCATTATCAAAACCATAGGCTGTATGAAGAGCTTGATAGATGTATTCTTAAAGGTATTTATGCATTTACTGTGTTTTAATTCTGATTATTGTTTTCTGTCAGCAGTCTTGATATGGCAAACTGTTTCAGCAGTATTTGTCTTTATTCTGGCAAATCATTGCTGTAAATGAATCACTTCTGGGTCCCATGAAATTCCAGTGCATGTTTTCATTCTGCTGGGTTTTTAATCCTCCAGTATTCAGCTGTGTGTAAACTGACTGTGAAGTCATTAGAAGCATGGGTTCAGTGATAGCTTGAATCACAGGAATGTGGAGAAGAATGGAAAGATCCTTTGGGCATGGTAACCACAAAACAGTATCGGTTGTAATATTTCTCCCTTTTTGCATGCGGGTTTGCAAGATTGCATCAAGCCATTGCAGCCACTAGAATAGCCTATTATTATGTTGATTTTATTAACTCTGTCTTATTAATAATACCCTTAATTTTTAATTTTGTTTTTCTGCAGATTAGTGAATGGCTCTGTTTAAACTGCCAGATGCAAAGAGCATTAGGTGGTGACCTAGCACCAGGTCATGGTCCCAGGCCACAGCCACCTCCACCCAAACAGAAGACACCCATTCCATCTTCACCAGCTAAACCATCTCCCCAGCCACAGCCAGCCCAAAATAAAGATGCTTCTCCAAAACCTGATCCTTCTCAGTTGGCAGAATCGAAGAAACCCCTGCCACAGAAAAAGCAACCCTCCTTGGCTGGGTCTCCCCCTGTAAAATCAAAACAGCCCTGTGCCGAGCCAACTGAGACCTCCCAGCAAATAGATCTTACTCCAAAGTCTGATCAGGCCAAGCCACCACAGGCTGAAGATAAGCAAAAACAACCCAGTATACAGAAGCCCACAGCAGACACTGTGCCTACCTCTGCAGCACCAGGAACGAAACAGGATTCAGCAGGTCCCAGACCTCCACCAGCTCAACAGAAAATGGTAGATTCCCCAAAGCCAGAGCTTGCCAAGCTGCCACAGGACACACAGCCAGCTGTGGACAAAACAGATTCCAAACCTCTTCCACAAGTGTCTCGGCAGAAGTCAGATCCCAAGCTTGCATCTCAGCCTGGGGCTAGACCAGATGCTAAAACTCAAAAGCCTGCTGAGCCAACACAAGAAAAGGATGATCCTAAGAAGTTACAAACAAAACCATCCCCAAAGCCTGATACCAAACCGTCTCCCAAGGGACCACAGGCAGGGGCGGGTCCCAAGCCAGTGCCAGCCCAGCCGGCACCTCAACCTCAGCCGCCTCAGAAAATTCCAGAGCAGCCAAGGCGTTTCAGCCTTAATCTGGGAGGCATCACTGATGCCCCTAAGCCTCAGCCTACAACACCACAAGAAACAGTTACTGGGAAACTCTTTGGATTTGGAGCTTCCATCTTTAGCCAGGCCTCAAATTTAATCTCCACAGCTGGTCAGCCGGGGTCTCAGACATCAGCCCCCCTTGCACCTGGTCCTTCAGTGAAACAGCCTCAGCCTCCGTCACAGCCTCTAGCCTCTCAGGCAGCCCCTAAAGAGGCTGGTCAGGCTCAGCCTCTTCCAAAAGCTGTTCCTCTGAAGAGAGAAGCCAAGCCTCCTATGACTGAAAAACCAGAGCCATCAAAAGCGGATGGTGTTTTAGCAGCGAAAGGGTCTGATTTAGAAAAGAAACCTGGTTTGGCTAAAGATAGCAAGCCTCAGGCTGCTGAAGTGAAGAAACCTGCTGGGCTGTCAGAACTGGAGAAAGCCAGCCAGCCTAAAGAGTCTTGTCCCCTTTGTAAAACTGGACTAAATATTGGTTCTAAGGATCCCCCCAACTTTAATACATGTACAGAGTGCAAGAAAGTTGTCTGCAATCTCTGTGGATTTAACCCGATGCCGCATATAGCAGAGGTAAGGTGATGATGGAGTCTGTATTTACCCTATGTTCCTATTCGCAGGCTCCCTGTGCTGTGAAGACCAATCTGTAGCTGATTTTTAGCTACTGAATTTGAAATATTGGAGGATTTGAATGTTTCATCATCTGAGGGCTTTAAATATCTCTGTTGAATGAAACTTGGTCAGTAGTTAGAAACTATATCAAATGAACTTTCTTCAGGTTAAGGGAGTCTGGTATAGGTGGTTGCTAGCTTTTTGAGGCAAAAGCAGGTAATTGTAGTTATGAACTGTTTTGCAATTGGTGCTGCAGCAGACTACTGTACTTTCAGTCTACCATGGGATAAGGTTCTTTTTCATGTGCTTCAGTATTATATGTTAATGTGTGCTTCTAATCAATGCCCTCAATTCAGACAATTATTGAATGAAGGAAGGTGTTAATGCTTAATTATTTAATTATTCCTATTCTCTCCGTTAAATATATCCCTAATTTATTCCATTAATCTCATTCTGTCTCTGGAGTTGTTGCACATGCTGATGTACCCGTTAGGAAGCTTGAATTTCACCACACAATACCTGTGTGGTGAAATATGTAATTTTTTGGTGCAAATAATGTAATGTTCAAAAAGACATTTCATTCATTATGGAGTATGAGTTTGAAAATGCCTTTTCCATGATTGTCCAAGACAGATCCAGTAAGGCCAACTTATGTTTAAAGAATTAAGCAACTTGCTTTTAACAGTTCCCTCACATTCCGCGTTTTTACCCTCCCTTTCTTTCTTGTACTTTTTTTTTGCCAAGAGGATGGGAAACTTTATGCTAGATTAACAGAGGCGCATCTTACTTGCCCTGTCAGTTTGTCAAGTTCAACTCAGCAGAAGCAGACCACCTAAAAATACTCGTGAGTAATTTAAATGTGTAGGTTGGTCCGTGCAGCGCATGAGGAAAGAGGCTGTCAAAGTCGTGTCTTTGAAATCTGAAAGAATAGATTAGAAATGGTTCATAGGGTTAAAGTTTATCACGTCTCTGCCTTAAGGGGAGAACAGACATTTGGAGAAATACCAAGATGCAGGGAAAATACTGCTTATGTTATCTGCATATGCTTTATTTGTGGATTATTTTCTGGAATATGCTGTCATTTGAAAGCCATTTATCCTACAATAACAAGCACATTTTATCTAATTTAGGAATACGTAGTCAGTTGTCTTTGTGGTCATTTAGGTTAGAGAGAAAAGTCTGAAAATATGGGAAGATTGATCAGTGATTAAAAACCAGGATTCAGTTGACTTTTAATGTTGCTTATGCACTGAATTACATCAGTCACACACACGTTCTTTCATCACTGTCCAGCCTCCTGCCCCATACACACACATATGTATACACACACATGCATGCACATAGACACAAATATGAAAAATGCGTATGACTTTCTCCAGAGGCACTCTAGCATGCAAACGCAGAATACCATGGAAACGAGATGTGTTATTTCAGGTTAAATACTGTGCTAAAATGACAACTACGCAAGTCCTGGTACCTGAATTGACTTCTGAGTTTACTTAGGTGTGATGGTGTGGGACTGCCTTGTAGTGTGCAATACTCTGTATTTCTTCTGTTTAAGATGAGAAGTCAGCAAACCTGTTTCTCTTTTCCCATCACTGTAGTCTGTCTTCCTCATGCCTTTCTTTACCTTGTTTTTGGATCCTTTTTGCATTTTCTTCTTCCTTATGCTACACATTTTCACCTCTGTCCACAGTTACCTTCTTACCTTTTTCCTATCATTTTTGCTAAAAATTGGCAAACTGCTTTTCCTTCACAACAGGAGGTGGTTTGCTTGGCTTCAGGTTTGAGGACAACTTGACTTTCCTTTTCATGAAGATGAGAGACAGAAGAGGGAGCTCATCCTCTCCTGTCCCAAATGAGCTGTGTAATTCACCTCAGACAGCAACTGGTCCCTGCACAGAGACCCTTGTATACACTGTGTATAGTATACAGCTGTTACTGATAATGGCAAATAGTTTATGCTCACTAATGTACTCTTTTTCTCCACCAAAATTTTCTAACCTGTTGAGTACAGTCTTGGAGGTTGTATTTACTTGCCTCCATTTTTGGGGAGGGTTAGGAAGGAGAAATAGAAATGCTTTTAAAAAGTTGTGTTTCCTGTGGATTTCTTCCTAATTATGTCATTCTATATTCAGTATTCAAAGAAAACAATAATTCCAAAAGGCTACATTTCATGTTGGCCCCAGAAAGTGTTATGTGTGAACAAATGTAACAGGTATTTTATAGTTTTGCTTAGGGGGTGCAGCTATATCACAGTGATTATAAGAGTTGCTTATGTATTATCTATACGTTGCCTCAGCAATGGCTGAAAATAAGTTGAGTTTTATTGACTGAGTGATGGTTGAAACCTACCAACGAAGCTTGCATTGGGCTATATGGTAAGAATCAGTCCTGTGGAGCAGGGAAACCAGCATTACATTAACAAACATAAAGGAGCATTTAAACTCTATGGACACTTCTACCTGAATGTCTTCCAGCAGGGAATGTCTTCCAGACATCATGCTGCTGTACTGCACACACAGCTGAGTACTTTTAAGGGAAGAAGGAACAGTTGTTTGTTCTTGCCTGCATGTGACAGAAATAACTCTCAAGAAAAAGTCTTTAAACTGCTGCAAAGAGTCAGTCCTCTAAGAACCCCTCTGCTGCAGGAAATAAGATACCTAGGCTTTTACCTAGTCTAAATCAGCAACATGCTATTTACTTCAATGAAATTATTCTGATTTGAGAATTAGGCTAGAATATTTTTTCCAAAAATGTGCTGATTGTTCTATTTCTCCCTGATTTGTTGATCCAACAGTCAAACAGTTATTTACTTAAATAGTAATTTATCCATGAAGCAAACAACTACAAATGATTAAATAAATGACACTTGATAGATTTCAAAGACCCACAGGACTATGTGAGCCCTAGTGCATTAGCAGACTCTTTATTCTGCCATTTGCTCAATAGGGAGGATCAATGTTTACCAGCTCTGTAATTAGCTTTCCAGCTCAGGTAGTTGGAAGCAGCTCTATTTTTAGCAACAAAGCACAAGATCACAACTGCCAAAGCCAGAAATTAAGTGTGTGACAACGACCATTTTGTGCATTTAAAGCTCAGTGAAGCTGTTTGGAATACTGAACAGAAGCAGAGATGGTTGCTTATAATGTAATTAAGTATCTTGAGGCAGCAGGGTCAGGAATATAGAACCTGTGATGAATTAATGTAGTAGTAAAATAAAAAGATTTAAAAACTAACCTAAGGAAAACTAAGATACCCATATTTGTAGAATCTGTATGGGGAATGAGAAAGAATAACATCTTAGTGGAGTCACATGAACAGAAAGATCTCAAAATGTGTGTACATGCGAATGTGCTAATGTTTTAATGTAATAGAACTGCTAAGGGAACAACAGGAGCACTTTTTCGTGTACTGATAGCTATAAAATTATCTGGGAAGGTACTTGGAAGTAAAGAATGTTCCACTGTGTGAAATAAATTATTGGGTCTACAGAAAGGTGAGGGTTGTTTTCACTGAAGAAGGACAGGGAGGACTGGGGAAGGACAGAAAAGACATCTCAGGCTTGCTAAGGATTTCTTGTTTGGAAAAGATGTAAGAGATGTGAACAGAATAGATGATATAAGCAATTTCACATAGGGAGTGATGTTTCTTAACGTTTATTACAGAGAATATAGTCTGTCTGAAATTGTTTGACATGTGGATATGATAGCAGGAATCTATAAACAATTACCTCAATGGTGCCTGTCCAATCCATATTCTTATATCATGGATTTTTTTTTTTTTTTTTGGGGTGTATAACTCACCAGAAGAATTCAGATATTTTTCTGATGATTTTCCCACTGTTACTTATTAGACCAAACTAAATACTTCTCCACACACACTAGAGAGAGAGGGAAAAGCAAAAAGATAAACTCATTTTGTAAGTAAGCACAGTGCTATCATTAAACTTGATAGGGTAAACAGGTTAAAAACAGTACCTTGTGCTTCCAGCAAGAACTTCTAGAAGTGACAATAAATAGTTAGCGTTTGGAACTTATATAAGGCTCTCTGAAGCTGAAAGGAACTCTCTTGTCATGTCATGATGTCATATACCTGAATACATATTGAGTTCTTGCACCTCCTCCTAAAACCCTGTAGAAAGGGTACTGGCACAAGTGGGCCCCTGATGTGGATAGTTCTGACAGCTTCTGTTTGGTCAGTCTTTCACTGATAAATAATTGCAAATGAAGTGAGGCCTTCAGCAGGTGTGATCCTTCCTTCAGGTTTTAATAGTAGCCTTTAATTAACAAACCCCAAACAAACCTATCCAGAGTGGAATGTACCCTGCTATTGAAGGCCCAAATGTAGTTTGGACTTCATAAAGCAAGTGTGCAGGAACATTGTAAAGTAATGAACCACCTATGAATATCTAATGAAAGTCCCTAAAGTGGGGTACTGCATCATCTGAAGTGACACATATTGCCTCTCTTTAATTTCTTAACAACTCTGCAGTATGGTATTCCTCCTATTTGAGAAAGTTCAGGCCATTCTGCAGATTAGCAGGTTTAACTCTTATTGGGAGTTCCTATGTTATGTTTGGTGATGAATAGTTTTGGAAACAGATGGTGTCTGGGAAACACACTGAAGAAGGATTTGCACTTAAGATACAAAAAGAAAAACAACCACTCTTTCCAGTTGCATAATTTATCTTCTCTGCCTTTTCCCTCTCCTGTTGTATTTAAAGCTCCTTTTAAAATTTTGATTATAAGAAAGCGAATGCAGTTATTGTTTTATAACTGTAACCAAATAGTACAGAACATAATAGGCTAACACAATGTATTCACCAAAGTTTATGGAAACTTCATCCTTTAAATGATAAGTCTTTATAACTGAGAAAATGTTAAAACTACCACTAATAATTGTTTTGAAAGATGAAATCTGTCATTGAAAGACAGAGTGTATGTTAGGTGATAAAACCC